CCTCCTAGTTGCTCGGAAACGAGCCTTACTTTTCACGCTTGGCAACGAGCCTGTTCAGATTGATTCAGGCTCTTGCTTTAATGCCCTTTTGCTCGGGGAGGTATCGCCTGTTTGGCTCACCTCTCGCCGGGCCGATAGCCCTTTGATGTCCAAGGGGCTATTTTGCGCATGCGTGAAAATGCTTTGCGAGGACACTCGCCATACAGTCTGGTGTTAGGCCAGACTGTGCGCGTTGTTTTTCTTGCAAACAGTCGCGCGCGGCCTCTGTGGAGCCTAACGGCTGTGCGGCTATACTCACCGCCCCCCCCCCCCCCCCCCCCCCCCCTCCCCCCTCCCGACTTTAAGGGTAGCTCTTTGGGAGATGTTATATGGGATCGGGAGTATAGCTCGCGCGCCGTTGCCTTCGGCTCAAGGCACGCGCGCCCTATGTGCCCGGACACTGCTTGTGTTCGCTATGTGCTGGAAAGATCATTACATCGTTCTTATCTTATTTTATCCGTCCATTCCCCTTACTGAACCGCCACAGTACGGCACCGGACGCTATTTGCCATCCGCGTCCCATGGAATCGGTTGCTATTTGACTTCCCGTAGTCACTTCAGACTGCCCAGATATTTTTCCTTGTTTCTTCTGCTCTGAATGTTTGGCGCTTGATCCTCCGTCACAGGTGTGACGGTGGTTGAATGATGGTTCACCAGGGCTGGGTCGAAACGCTGTTTTGCTGGACTTCGGCTGGGTTTTGTTCTTCGCTTTGGCGGGGGGGGGGGGGGGGGGGGCGCAGGAAAACAGGTGCAGCAAAGCGAACGACACAACGAAAACAAGCGAACAACAATTTTAAGGCCCAGCCCTGCGATGATTAACTTTGTATGCCTGCTTTTCCGCGTTCTCGCCTGCCACCGCATTTCTCCGCCCATGGCTCTGCTCTTGGGCTTCCCGCTCGGCGTGCTGGCTTCTTCTCCCCTCTGTGGCCCTGCTCCCCTTCCCTCCCCGCGGCGTTGCTACCTCTTGATTGCTCATCGCTATGCACATGCATACGTTTCAAAGCCAGCCAATCATTATCATCATCACCAAGATCGTCATCGTCACCATCGCCATCATCATCATGATCATACTCCTACTCAGAACCATCATCATAGTCATTCTCAAACGTATAAGCGTAAGCATTATCATCAGTAGTATCAGCATCGCAATCATCATCACCATCCTCATCATCATCACCAACATCACCATCATTACCGTCACCATCATCATCATCATCAGCATCATCATCAGCTGCATCAGCCGTAGATGCCGAGGCCGTCAGCCTCTTCGGTCCCCTCCCTTGGACTTACCCGCAGGAGTGAGGCGCCGCGGAGTTCTTTGCGGCCATCGAGGGCATCCAGAATTGCATGCCGCCCGTCATGATCTTCACTGACTGCCAGCTGCTCGTCGACGGCGTTGCTGCTGGCTAGGCGTGGCGCCTCCACTGGCAGCGGCCGCGCAGGGAGCTCCGGGCCCGCCTGCGGGCGGTGATCGACGACGTCGGCCTCGACAACATCTCTTTCTACAAGGTTCAGGCCCACGCGACGCTGGCCGACGTCCAGGCCGAGCGCGTCACAGCGCAGCAGCGGCGGGGCAATCGCAGCGCCGATGCTCGCGGCAGCTAAGGCGCGCGCGTGCATCCGACCGATGACGACATTCGCGGGCGCAGTGCTCGTCAGGATCGGCTCGTCAGGAAGGTTTTCCGCTGGTTGGGGGACGCCATGCAGGAGGGCGACGCGGAACTGACGGCGGGGGGCGGTTCTGGCGCGGTTTCAGCGGCGGCGGCGCTCCTCATTGCGAGCGCAGCGCGGCTGTCCAACCAGGCCAGCGGCTCGCAGGGCTCAGGGTCGGCCGCCGACGCCCAACGCGACGGCGATCGTGCTCAGGTTTAGAGCGGGTCGGGGGGCGCAACGGCAGCAGCACCGTTGCAGCAGCTTGGCCCGACCACCGCCACCGCCCCCACCAGCGCTGCCTCCACATGAGCTCCCGCCATGGTGGGGGATCGACACTCACGACTCCCACGAGCTCTGGCGCGCGGACAATCATCTGTTCTGCAGCAGTTGCAGTTGCTGGACTCAGAGCGGCAAGATGCCGACCCCGATGCACGACAGGCAACAGGCCGTGCTCGGGCGGCTGCAGCGGGATTTGCAGGCCGCTGGCAGGGGCAATGTCGGTGACCTTCATCCTCTGCGTCGTCTGCGCAGGCGCCTGGACGGCTAGGCTATGCCTGCTTTCGCTTCTAGCTCGGGCATTGACCCTGGTGCGCAGGCTTGCTTGCGCACGGGATCGGGCCCGATGCCATCGGCAATGCAGCAGCCAAGCGTTAGGCCAGGTGTATTGGTGGAGCGCGTTGCGCTGTAGATGGTGAGGTGCGTACGGTGGGCATGGCTTTCGCTCGGTGCTCACCGACGCCCGTCAGTTCTCTCTGCGCGGATCCTGAGCCATGGGCGTTGGCTTGCTTACACTCGGGATCGGGCTCCGTTTCCTGCGGCCGTGCGACCAGCCCAGAGTTGGCCAGGTGCCGTAGGGGCGAGTTGTGCTGCCGCAGGGTGGGTTCTTTGCAGCGTTCGCCCTCTCTGCGGCAGCTGCCCTCTGCGTTCGAGTCCTGTGCGGAAGTCGAACCAGGTGTGTCGGTCTACATGGGCGCTAGATCGGGTTTCGCGGCTTGCGTTTTTCAACGTGCCCAGCTCTGCTGGGGCCTTGGCGACTCAGGGGCGACTTGCGAGCTGGTAGCGAGGTGTTGTCCTGCACGCGCGTGGCTTTGCTCGGTGCGCCTTTTTTCTTACGAGCAGTTGCTCGCCAAGATGTCTGGCGCTCGGCACCATCCATCTGGCCCGTCTGGCACGGAAGCCGAACCAGGGGCGAAGGCCCCCTCGCTCGTGATCGGACTCCGACGCCCTGGCACAGCAACAACCTTTGCGTTGGGCCATGAGCCACTTAGGTGTTGCTGCGCTGGTGCTGATGCGAGTCTCTGTGAGCCCTAGTGCCTGGCGCTCCGCCCTTGGCGTCGTGCGAGCGGATTCCGGGCCGGGTGCGTCGCCCCGCTCGCACGCGGGGTCGGGCTGCGATGCCAGCGGCGCTGCAACAGTCCAGGTTTGGCCTTGGACCTCGAAGACGACTTGCGATGCTGGTGGCGAAGTGCTGTCCTGCAGCGCGCACGACCTGCTCAGTGCGCGCTGTTTTCCCGCGAGCATGGATCGCCAATCTGTCTGGCGCGGAGCGCCTTTCTATTGTGCCCGTCCCGAACGGAAGCCGAGACAGGGGTGGAGGCTAGACAGGGGTGGAGGCTAGCCTTGCTCGGGATCGAGCTCCGCAGCGATCGGCAATACAAACAGTCCTGTTTTGACTAGGAGCCAGGGGGCGAGATGCACTGTTGATGGAAAGGCGATTTCGAGCGCTCGCCTCTCAGCGGCGCGTTTGCACGCTGTCCGCTTGCTTTAGCCGCTGGCGCGCTCGCGCGACAGCTCTTGCCCGCCCGTCAGTCTCGACGCGGAGGGCGACCGTGAGCGCAGGGCAACCCGCGCTCAGGCTCGATCTCCGCAGGCCATAGGAGCAACCGGATCAGGGCGGTCAGGTGCCAAGGACATTTTTGCTTCTCAGGTGCGACGTGCAGCTTTGCTGCGTACCAGCCGCTAGATCGGCGGCCGAGCCTCTGCGCTGCTGCCTTGCGTGCTGAGTCGCTCTGGCTGCTAGGATATGTCGACCGCTTGCTTCGGTCGAGGCGGCTGATCGCTCTGGGCACCCAGGTGATCCTGCGGGCATGCGCCGAGGCGCGCGAGACCGAGCGTTGCTGCCCCGGGGCCAAAGGGAAACGCCTCGATCCGATGGGGCAGTCCGAGCGGGGAGGTCCTGTCCCTTTGAGACGCGAGCATCATCATCAGCCTCGTCATCGCCATCGTCATCATCATCACCACTACCACAAACCACCGCCACCCTCATCATCACCACCGCTACCATCATAATCATCACCAGCAGCATCAGCATCATTGTTCGCAACGGCATCAACATCGTCATCGTCGTCGTCATCTTCGTCCTTGTCATCATCACCATCATTTCCATCAGGAACGCGCCACGTCGGCCGATGGTTCGGCGATGCGGCTCGAAGTGGAACCCGATCTCCTACTCCGACGGCGCCGATGTGTTGCCGACGTCGCTGTTGCATCGGTTGCGTCGGCGACGCGGCGCGATCTTCCGACCTCATCAGTTCGAACCCCATCGGGGAGGCCTCCAGCGCCCCGAGAAAAATAACACGTGAAACAATGCTGCTTCAGCAGCCGAGTAGCCGCATTCGCTGGGTCGGAGTAGGTAAACCTGCCACATGGGAGGGGCATTTGCATGGGGTTCCTTCGCGGGGGCGCCCGTACTTCCTTGACACCGCGGCCTTGCATGTGGCATTTTCGCCTGGATGGTTCCCGGGGATTCCGGCCCAGTGCCGATGCTGGTGTCTCAGCGTGGGAATCCGCGGGTTTTGCGTTGGTGCTTTGCGCTTCTTGACAACCGACGGGGCGAACACTAAAAAAAGTGGGTCATCACGATCAGGGCTTTCCTCCCCATGCTCCATGTGTTGTGTCTGTGCCACTTCTCGAGCTGGATCGATCCAGTTGTGAGGGTACCAGGGTTGGAGACCCGGAGAAAACGCCCTGTCAGAGAAAAGTTGCGACGCCAGGATCTCAGGGGAGGTGTGCCTCGGCGCCCCCCTCGGCCGCCGCCGCGGGGCCGAGGGCGCCGGGCCAAATACGCGTCCGCACGGCCAGCGTTGCGCGGCCCCCCCGTCGCCGTTCCCCGCGCGCACGACTGCTGGCATCGTCGGCGGCGCCGCCGTCGGGCGGCGGTGCGGATATCGCCCGCCGCTGCCGACGCTGCCGCGCCGGCGCCGTCGCTGCCGCCGCCGCGGCTAGAAGCGCGCGCAGGCCGCCGCCGTCGCCGCCGCCTCGTCACGCGCGTGGCGCGGCCCCGCCCTCGTCGTGCGCGCGCGCGGCAGGTGGCCGTCGTCGGCGCCACGCCCGCGGCGGCGCTGCAGGTGGGGAATGCGGCCGCCGCCGCTCTCCCGCTCGCCGCGCCGCCGCAGGGTGCATTTCGGTCCGCTCGGCGCGGTTCGAGGTCGGTTTCGGCCGGCCCCGTCCGATTCGATTCTGATGTTTAGATTCCGATTCGGATTCGATCGGGTTGGGGGGACACGTCCAGGACGAGCACCCACCCTTAGGAGGAACGGGGTCGGGACCTCTTCGGCCGCGCATGGACGACATCATATCGGCGGATGTCTGGGAGGAGGAGGAGGAGGAGGAGCAGGAGGAGGAGGACGAGGAGGAGGCAGAGGTGGAGGAAGAGGACGAGGTTTTCTGTCTCTCCAACCTCGAGAGGTTCGAATCCAGGAGCCCCGGAATGTCCAGACCCAGCGTGCCGAACAAAACAGTCAGGTCGAATGAGCCCCTCAGGAGGCATCGCGAGGAGGAGGAGGAGGAGGAGGGGGAGGAGGAGGAGGGGGAAGAGAATTTCAAGGCCTGGGTCGGCACACACCCTGTTGGCTCCGGGCCCGCCACCGCTGAGCAGCGCGCTGGTCCAGGGGTTCGGGGATTGCGCAAGCACCCGACCACAGAGCTCTCCGGACACGCGGTCCCCCGTAGGAGGAGGAGGATGATGACGAGGAGGAGGAGGAGGTGGAGGAGGAGGAGGAGGAGGAGGAGGATTTTGAAGCATCCTCCTTCCTCCGTCCTCCCCTCCTCCTCCCAGGATCTATCTGTCTGTTTCCCTGTTTTATCTCTCACATATACCCGCCCGTGACCCTTAAAGCGGTGCTCCAGGGGTCACCTGGACGTAGTTTGATCAACGCCCCCAGGGCCGACCGGCCTTTGGGGGGGGGAGGCTCACGTTCGACGAACCTTGCAGCCACCAGGAAGCGGAATCAGGAGGAGGAGGAGGAGGAGGAGGAGGAGGAGGAGGAGGAGGACGGAAGACGAGGACGGAGAGGGAGCGAATCAGGGTGCCGCGTTCGAGCGCCGTCCTGCTGCCCCTGCAGCCCTTTTCGGTGGCCCAGGCCGGCCCTGGCGCGCAGGGAGGTGCCGGCTGCGACGCGGTGCCCGGCCGCCAGCTGCCAGGCATGGCCCATCCTCGGGTGCTGCCAGAGGTGGCCCTGGCCTGGTTACGGTAGGTTCGCGTCGTGTCGACCCTCGTCGACCTCGCCGCGGGCGTTCAAGGTTGAACGCCGCCAGTGGCCCAGAATCGACTAAGATGAAACGATCGGGCGATCGAAAAGCCGCCGATCGTTCAAGGTTGAACGCGATTCCCGCGGTGTCAAGAACCATCGCCTGGGTCGACACGACGCAAACCTGCGGTACGTGGCCCCAGCTTTTCCCGGGGGGGCCGAGGTTTGCAGAGGAGGGCGAGTTCTCGAGTAGGGGATCGACTGCAGGATTGGTGTACTCCAAATCGTGTTTTTTCCGCCGGAGCTGCGGAACGTGCGTCGAACGTGCCGTAGATCGATTGGGCATGCTATGTGTTCTCTGTGGATTCGGCGGGAGAATCAAGTCTGGAAAAAACATGTCTGTAGTCGATCCCCTGGTCGAGAGTTGAGACAACGGTCGCTGGCCTTTGGGCGACCCCCTCGTCGCTACGGACGGCTGGACGCGGACGCAGGTCGGACAATTGGTGCACCTTGAGCCCCAGGAGTGATCTGGGGATCGATTCTGAGCTGCCGTTGTCTCAGCTCGCCCTGCTCCGAGCTTGTCCTGGTTTTCCATGGTGCTTTTCCAGCAGACGGCGCTCGGTAGCCGACGACGAGCAGTATGCACAAGCACGAGCTTGGGAGGTCCGACAGTGTTCCCAGGCAGGCGTGGATGGACTCTAGACAGAGGTCCGCTTTCATCCGATCGGTCCTGTTCGATGTCGACGTCGGCCGACTCGATCCGATTCGATTCCAATTTTCCAGCGATCCGATGCGGCCCGATGCTCGCATGGCGATGTCATGCATCCTGGCGCAGCCGATCCGAGTCGACTTCGCCTCCGTGCCGAGGCAGGCCGGCTCGGCGCAGCTTTCCGACTCGATCCGATTTCCCTATTCGGTATTGATTGATCTTGCCAGAGCGCCCATCGCGAGGCCCCGAGGGGAGGGGAGGGGGCTCTCGAGAGTGGCGCGAAGTGTTGTGGACGACGATCAATGGCGAGGAAGCACGTTGCCGAATAATCTCCAGATGTCTAAAACACGCCTTGAACATTTTAGATTATGTTTCGAACATTGTAGACCATGCCTTGAACATTTTATGCGCAGTTTCAGTGCAATGATCGGATCGTTGGGGTTAAGTCGGGCCTGTCCCTCTACAGGAGGGATATTCAAGAGTAGTCCAAACATAGTTGGGGGACCGTTTGTTCGACAATTGTTTTGGCATTTGGGGGGCATTTGGGGAGTTTAGTTTGACCACTTTTTCCCCCCAAGATCTCCCTGTAGGGGGACAGGACCTAATGTGAGGGTGCCCGTCGCCTTGGCAGCCACGAGTGAAGAGCTGGGGACGCCCCGTGCCGGGAGCGCCCGTGGCACCGCGCCAGACGTCCTGTGACTGTGCTCGCGCTCGCCCTGTCCGCGGAGGCCCTTCCAGTCGGCGCAGGCACCGGCTCCGAAGAGGACCACCCAGGCACGATCGCGTCGTAAAACGATCAGGGGGGCAAGTTTTCCTGTATTTTCGGCCCCTGGGGGCCCTCGCCGCTCCATGGGAGCGTCGAAAGACGACTCGGGGTGAAAATCCGGCCCATGGGGAAAGGGCCTGGACTTCCGGGGACGCCGCCCTGACAAAATCAGGACGTCGCATGTCTGGGAAGGTACACACACCTCTACCCTTTCCTCGCTTCCCCTTTTTGGGGCCTCCTGGGAGGCCCTCGTCGCCACCCTTGGATTCGCTTTGAAATCCTGGTCAGAACGCACCCCAGGAGAGGTCCGGGGAGGAGCGGTGTCGGTACCCGTCCGTTTCCCCACAGGCCGGCCCCCTTCTCCTGTCGGGGGTGGCGTCATGGGGGGGCGATCGATGGGGCGGTGCAGAAGGGTGCACCTTTTGTGCCCCAATGGGGTGCTGAAGGGGCTTCTGGGGCCCAGAAGGGGCCCCCTGGGCAAGGAAGGGACAGGAGAGGTGCTCGCTCCGCTCCGGCCGGCCCCGCCCCCACCCCCACCCCCCATTCCCCCTCGCCTCCATCTACCGCCCTTCCCGTACATTTTCCGTGCCCTTTTTGGGCCCCATGGGCAGAAGGTGGCGGGACTTCTGTGAGCCCCCGCGCCTCCTGAAAAGTTTCCTGTGCCTTCGAGCCGGGAAACTTCTCAGAAACGTTCTCAGCAGGTCGGGGGGAATTCCGAGCCTTCTGAGAAGGCTCGTACTTTTCGGCTACACGTAAGTGTGGCTTTTCGACGGAGTGACCCTTGGTGCGGGCATAGTGGGGTTTTAGCAAATCATGGGAACCTGGTGTACTCTTTTGGTTCCGTCTCTAGCGTCGACGAGCGTCGATTAACGTGTGGGAGTCGATGAGGTAGCGTCGATTAGCGTCGACTTAGCGTCGGCTAGCATCGATTCGCAAGAGCCGACAAGATGGTACGGGTGGCTCCCATGACTTGCCACCGAACCGGGGCCCGAGATGGCCGAATGCGATAATTGTAGCAGCGGCTGGCGCGCTCGGGCCCAGCCCCTCCCCCCCGCGCCCCCCGAAAGCTGCGCACCAGAGGCCACTCTTGCCTGGGGTCACGCTTGCGCTTAGAGCACCGGCGCTTCTCTCACCTCCCCCCCGGGGCTCCCGCCGCCGAATCAAGCAACGTCCGATGCAGGCGATTGTGTTCTTATCCATTGCTTTGCCGATCGGCGCGGGCCCTCGCACCCCCCCCCCCCTCCCCCCCCCTCCATGGCGTGGATTTTTGTTGCCTGTTTTTGGTGCCTGCTTCAAGCAGGTGGAGTCTCCTCCCAGAGGACGCAGCAGGTGGAGTCTCTCTCCCATAGGACGCACTGTTGCAAACAGTCGCGCAAAGCAGAGCTCCAGAGCCAGACCCCCCCCTCCCTCCCCCCCTTCCGCCCAATGTCGAAACGCCGAAAAAGAACACGTTCGCCCGAGGGGGAGTCGCGGCGCCGCGACGGAGCAGCAGGGTGCTCAGCACAGGCGAGCCTACCCTGTCGGAGTGCCGCGCGAGGCTGCCGGGTCGGCGGCTTGGACGGTGGCGCCTCCCCGCTTCGAGTCGGGGATCGACTACAGAACATATTTACCCCAAAATTGGTTCCCCCGTCTAACCCGCGAACAATTCATATCATGCGCAAGCGTTCTACGGAGCATTCGACGTATTTCCCGCCTGGGCAGCGGAACACAAAAAAACGATGCATTCCTCCGAATGCTGCCCCTGACACCTGACACACCCCTTTTTGAGCCTATCCCCCCCGAAAGCTACCCCTGCCGCACACCTCCTCGGCACGCAGGTCGCCAGCAGTCGAATGGGGGATCCCCATTCGAATGGGGGATCCCCCATTCGAATGGGGGATTTACCCGATAATTGTTTTTCCAGCCAGATCTACGGAAAACACGTCGCATGTGCCGTAGATGCGTTCTTCGTGGCTTCGGCGGAAGAACGACTTCCGGGGTAGATCCATTCTATACTCGATCCCCTGCCCGACCGCTGGCGCCCTGCGCGCCAGGGAGGTGTGCGGCAGGGGTAGCGATTTGGGGAGGGATAGGCTCAAGAGGGGCGTGTCAGGCGCAGCGTTCGGAGGGATGCATTGTTGTTGTCACGCTGCTCATTGTTTGGCTCCCCCCCCCGCCCTTTTCGCTCCCGCTCCCGCTCAGGAGGGGTGTGTCTGGGGCAGGGGCATGCTTGGTTTTGTTTCCCCGTTCCCCTTTTTGTACCTGCTCGATGCCGACGAGTTCAACGATTCAATCATTGACGTTGTGATGTAGGGGGAACCAAGAGGGCCTCCAGGGGCAGCGCTAGGAGGGGACGCATCGACCCCCAATCGGCCATTCATCACCGACCGGGACCCCGTAGCACATCCGATCCAGGAACGACGC